GATTCAATTTAGCCTCAGACAGTCAGAAATATTATAATTCTGATCATTTATCAGTACTGATACACATGAGACTTCATCAGAATTGTGAAAATCACAGCAGATGCTTTTGTGTGAAAGTAACTGAGAATAAAACACAGGAAAACATGAAGGAGATTTTCCTGGTCTGGCTTTTTATAGCAGATAACCTTAAAAATATTCTGCAATATTCTGCAAATTTGCATAATTTTAAGAAATTTAAATTTCTTCAGTATTGAACTGCAGAAATTAGGCTATCTTGTCCGAGGTCATTTAAGTGAAAAAAGAAAAAGCGCTGTAAACAACGGTAGACTGGTGGGTAATAAGCGAATGAATAATGCAGAAAACAGATTTGAGACGGGAAACTGTTCCTGAAGTACACACAGAGAGAGCTGTGCAGGAAGTGTGATTTTTATCGTGGTGGTAGCAAAACAGCAAAAGTCAGAGGGAATTCATGACGACATTGATCAAACGTGAAGCGCAGTTTGCTGCGTCTTTTGCTGCTGGCTTGGCGAATTTTGGTTGGAGAGACAAAACCTGCAGCTCAGAATCAGCGCAAAAAGACGTAAACACAGTGCGGACCCGAAGAATCGCTAAGCTCCGACAGCGTGTCCGTGTTCGGGCCGTCGGGTGAGAAAGCCGAAGCTGATTCTGATGTGTCGGGTCCGCTCCGTGTTTAGGTCTTTGTGTGGAATCCGTTAATGAATTGATATCGCTTTATTCAAGCTACTCACCTCTCTTCCACCTGCACTTTCAAATGGACCACTGCCAATCAGAGAGGTCCCGCCCCTGACTATCTCTGATTGGTTTAGTCCACGATAGGGGCATAATGTGTGTCTGTTGTTGACCACACGGAGAGTTGCAGAGATTTTTTTTTTGTTACCGGAACAGTTGGTCGCACCTGTGCGACCAAATATTTATTTTTAGTCGCACCACTGAAAAATTTGGTCGCATTTGCGACCAAATTGGTAGCACTCTAGAGCCCTGTGACATAAACAACCCTCTTATGTGTGCCAGCTTCACACCACCAATAGGAGTAACATCATCTTCTTGAGTTTCCAGGGACCATTCACATGGTGGGCAAATGTGACAACCATTAGAGTGTGGAAATAAAAAGATCAGCCTTTGCTCCTGTATCAAAAATCACTGCAAAGAGTCAGAAGCAGTTTCATAACTTAACCCAGGCTTGACTGTAAAAACAGAGAGGAAGCAGGGCACTTAAAGCTTTCTGAGCACCATCAAATTTTTTTAGTCAGGCTTATAATAGCAGGTATTTAATTTATGAAACTGAAATTAAATTGAAACTGTTATTTGAGTCTTTTATTCATTTTGTCTCTATACAGCTGCTTGAATATTGTTTAAAAAATGTATTTTCTCTTTCAAAGTAACATGGAAAGTTAAAACATCACATCAGCTTTAATATTCATCTCCAGTCTTAATTGTGCATCTAAAGCTTTCTTGAGGAAAGCTTTAGATGCACAATCCTTTGGGTTTACAGGACCACGTGCTCCAGCTGCACCACCTCATCAGTCACCATCAGCTTAGGCAGCAGCACCATCCAATTTAAGACCAGCCAGCGACTCGGACGCAGTTTCTTGTTCGCCCTCTTCATCTTCTTCCTCCTCCTCCTCCTCCTCTTCCTCCTCGTCCTCCTCATACTCGTCTTCCTCGTAGTAATCGTCTTCTCCGTAGTCGTCTTGTTGGTCTCCACCTCCGGACGCTGCGTTCTTCCAGTAAGCATCGTACCCGGACGCACCGTCGTAGTAACCGTCGTCATCGTCGGCACCGGCCTGTCGACCAAACTTCAAGGTGCGCGCTGTGAACAATGCACAGGTGTCAACGTTAGCTCTGGTGTCATTACGCATGGTGGTGAAGTGACAAAGAAAAGGTCCTGTAAGATACAGTCTGCGTAATTCTCTGCAAGCAATGTTTATTCTAAGCCTTCAGGTTGTAATTTAACTGATTATATATCACTTTGTTCCTCTTGTCAATATATGACTATGACCCTGCAGTGATCCTTCCACATGTTTTTGCCTCTGTCCCATGTCGGAAGTGAAATGTTAATATTGCTAAAGCTCTTTGTGAGGAGCTACAAATATCAGATTCACTGAGCAGGGTTTTTGTTTCAAAATACATCTCACTTTGCTAATAGCAAGTCCTTAGAAATAGAAATCAAATCCTGGCAGCACATTTGAGAGAACAGCAATGTGGCCAACACGTGTTTGGCACCACTTCCAAGGTCAAAGTTTAATTGCATAACATCAAGACTCTGCTTTTACAGCAAGAAGCATTGGAGAAAAACCCAAATATTCATGAACAATTCTCTAGAAAATACAATTAGCTGCACTGTGTAAATGACTTCTGGGGAAAAACAAAGAATTTATTTTTCCCCTCATGGTTTTGTTTCATTTTCAAAACACAGTCTGCGGGGAAGTAGCAGCTGTGGCAACTTCCCCGAAACAGGAGCTTTACGGGAAGAAAAACAACTTAACAACTTCCAGTCGTTTAAAGGTCTGCGTAACACTCACTTGACATGCTTAGATCTTTGGTCTCCTGTGTCTCGTGACCACATTTGGGACAGGGAGGACCTTTTCCTTTCTCCTGTTTGAAGACTTTACTCTTAGTGTGATCATCACAGTAACAAGCCTGCAAGACACAGTTCAACTTTCAGTCAGTTATGGCATGGAAACGCTGGTGCACGAACATGATATCGATGCATAGTTCTCGCTCAACTTCAAAACTAAAGAAAGCAAAGCAGTAACAGTTCAGGCTTGTTTAGGCAAGAGGAGTAAGCTCATTCATCTACATCCGTTCATCCATAAAAACTCGATCGTATTCCCTTCCTCCAGTCTCAAATTCAGAGATCCTCACTCACTGTAACCAATATATGGCAGCTGTCTTTTGCCTCTTTTTGATACAGACTGTACTCTTAAAAAAAGGATTGAATTGGAAATATAAATAAATAACCCCTGCCCCAAAAAGCAGAGTTCCTATTTCAAATGCTTTCTGATCAGATTGCAACTGTGGCACAATGCCACGCAAGCAGCACTTGTGTAAATGTTGTGAGCCACTCCATATGTTTTTATTTTGTTCCTGATGAAGCCTGATAAACCTGAATGTCTGCTGTAGTCATTCCTACATTCTAATATCCTCAATAAACATGGCTTCTCTGTGCAGAAATGCATGCTAAAGTTCAGCTGGCGTAAATTCGTCAAAAGTACCATGTCATCATAGTATAATCAGTCTTATTGTTTGTTGTCTATATGGAGTTGGGGCAGAGTCTCATGCTCAGGAAATGCGGTTTGGTTGCTAGGAGACCAGCAGAACATATGCTCAATTAATAAACAGCTCCAGCTAAAACTTTGCTTTGAGGGAGGATCAGCATCATTTACAGTGTTGAGAAGACATCCCTTTCAGCTAGCATGATGATCAGGAATGATTACAGCAGGCTAATGTAATGTGTAATATTTGGTGTGCAAATGGGCATGTGAGGGTAGCTTTAATTTAAAGCTTTAAAACAGACCTGAGAAAATGCACGTCAAAGATTTACTCAGTCAGCACTGGCTGTCTATGCAGTGCATCTTTCATAGTGCAATTCTTTATCCTGTAATTTTCCAGTACAAATAAACAAACATTACTCTATATATACACATTTAAGGATAAGCACACTCACTTGTTGTGCATTAAGAGGTGATTTATTGCAAAAGTATGCTTTGGCTACACATATTGTCATGAGCTGCCTGGCAAATTCCTTCACTTGTGCACTTCAGTAAAAGTATGCACTGCGACTATCTGGCCTAGCAACAGCTCATATAGGTCATTGATAGGACCAACTTATTTTTAACCTCTGTAAGATTAGCTGACAACTGTTAAACTAAGCACAAGGAACAACTAAAGGCAGTATGAGCTCCGGTTGCTATTTTCAGCAGGTCCATTGTTGTCAGCCTGGAGCGCTTTCTTGCCATTTTATTCGTTAAAAGCTCTTTGATGTTTAGTTTCAGTTACGTGTCTGTTGTACACAAGGAATATTTCCAGATAAAGGGAGAAAAACCAAAAGCAAAACCACATGAAAACAACGATGTGAATTTGTAGCCATCTTATCAGATTTGGTTTGTTCTTCTTTTGTTGTTACAAACAGTTTTGTAATGCAAGTTGATAACGTGGGTTTATTTTTTACAAACATGCTTGTGATCCTTTTGCATTATATTTTCACAGACCGTTTCCTCACCTTACACCGCAGACAGGAGTGTTGTCCCAGTTTATTACAGGAAACACCTAAAATAATACAACAATATTATGAAAACACATTCGTAACATCACTACTGCACATGTTCCCTCTGGATATTATCTGCTCATATGGAAATGATACGCTTTAAACAACCCATTGAAAAAGCCCATTGAATGACAGTGTGACTTACATTTGAATGTTTCTGCTTGAAGAACCTGGCAGCTTGCCTGATGCTCAAACTGATCATCCTCACATAAGAAGTTCTGACAGAAGGAACAGCGGAAGATTCGCCCTCCTATTTAAGAAGTTAAACCAGTCAGTGGCTCTACTTAGGTAAGCAGGTGAAACAATCAAACAGGGGTGGTCTCACCATGATCCCAGACACTGCGCTCACACTCGATGCAGTCGGCATCAGTCAAAGGACATGAACAGGCGTGAGTGCTCAGGCATTTCCGACCATGGCACACCCAAGCTTCACAGAAGTCGCACACTGCCCCCTTGTGATTGATTAGGAGAATAACAAGGGCCAAAATCAGAAATTGTACTTTCTTTTTTTATGTTTAAATAACCTGCTGATGAGTTTACTGGCATGTAGCAAAAACAGACACTGATTACTGAACACCAGTTGGACCCTTGACACACCTTATCATATGCTACTTAGCTTAATTATTCATTTTGATTGCACTTGCACAACACTGCACCATGGGCATAAAGAGTGTCAGAGTGATACTGAATGGTAAATGGTAAATGGACTGATTCTTATATAGCGCTTTTCTACTCTCCCAGAGCACTCAAGCGCTCTATACAACATGCCTCATTCACCCAATCACACCCACTCTAAACTCAAGTGCAACTAATAAGCATTCACACACATTCACACTCCGATGAACGCATCGGAGGGCAATTTGGGGTTAGTATCTTGCCCAAGGATATTTGGCATGCAGACTGGAGGAGCCAGGAATCGAACCACCAACCTTCCAATCAGTAGCTGATCTGCTCTACCACCTGAGCCACAGCCATATGAATAATAGCTAGCCCCAGATTAATGCAGAGAAAATCTACAAGCTGCTGCTTCTTGGTTGTAGACGACCTCTGTTGGTGTGCTTGAGGCCTTGTTTATTCTCCTAGCCTGCCGTCTGGAGTGCTGTTGCTATCAGTGTCAACATCTAGATGAGCGGCTGATTGTTGCGGAATCTGCTGGCAACATGGATCTCTTGGTTTGTTTGTTATTCGGCATCGAATGGCCTTACATATCAAGGGAGGGTCCTGCTGCATTTACAGTCTCTGAAAGCTGACATTATCATTGTGTAAAAGGACTCCTCCCATGCTATTTGATTATAAACCTAATATACCGGTGGGATTTTAAAGTACGTCTTTTTTTTGCTGCTATCATTATGCGAGAATGTAGATCCAAGTCCCGGCCCCGTGCAAAATATTCTCACAGCAGCAGAATTTAAAAATAGAGCAGGTCTTGACCTTGTGCACTAGAAGTTTTCTCCCTAAAAGGACTCGATAAAGCTCTGCACTGGCACAGCTGAAACAGACAGGGCCACAAATGAACCTGCTGCCTGGATCTGTTAGAGTTTTAAGAAATCAAACCAGGACGTTGACTAGAAATTCCAAATATCAATACATACAGTGCTGTGAAAAAAGAATTCGTCCCCTTCCCAATTTATTTTTTATTTGTATATTTGTCACACTCAGTTTGAGATCCTTAGGCAAATATTAATATTAGACAAAGATAACCCAAGGAAATACATACTACAGTTTTTAAATTATAATTTCGTTCGTTAAGGCAAAAAAAAAGTTATCCAAACCTACCTGGACATTTTATATCAGCTACTTATGTTTTTAATGCAAATGTAGAATAGTCTTGATGCTCTACATTGAACTGTCTTTCCCATTTTGTATCATCTTTGTGCCTGAACCTATTTCCTCTATGGCAATCTTAAAATGTTAAAAAGCCATTGAGCCAAAAAAATTCATCTGGACCTGAGAACCTCACAAACAATTTTTTAATCGGATTCTTCAGCTTAACATCATCCCTGAAAATCTAGAAATTTTAAAAACATGGGATCCCCTCAACAAATATTGCCCTAAACCTAAATTTCTACTTGCGCCAAAATTGTAGAATTTTAAATAAACTCAACAGTACTGTAACAGCAACTATGTTGGTAACAAATTCTATTATTATTGCCTTGGACTGAAAGCTGCTGTGTTTGTTGATCTGATTCTGATGACCATGAGCTGCTGTTAGAAAGACTCAGTGACGTCAGTTAGAATGATAAGACTACAGGCTAGTTCAGGAATGCCCTTTCAGATAGGACACAGTGTGTTTATACAGATGAATATAAGTCAGGTTTCTATGAAGCTTTTAAATGGAGTCACACAGAGGTCAACTTTAGACCCTGTTTTTTCTTCCTTTTTATTATTAATATAGAGAAGATTATGCCTAAACCTAAACTGCGCATTTATGCAGATGATACCATAATGTACTCACAAGGCTCTACTCTGAGTCACACTGTTGACAGCAGCTGCAGGCACTCTTTAGAGTACCCAACTTGGAACAGCATTCTCTTATTTTGCAGCTCATTCATGAAATACCTTTCAGAGAACACTAAAGCTGAATCATTTTGTCTCCCTGGGAAAATACAGAGGGTGCCACTGCATGATCTGGACCTTGTATTTGAATTAAATTTACCACTGACAAAATTAACTGACTTGTTTTATTTTATTTTGATGTAACTTTGTCATGGTGCATCTTCTTGGCCAGGTGGCCCTTGAAAAAGAGATATTTATCTCAAAGACTAAATAAATAAAAATATTATTTCTCCCAACAAAACCTACCAGAACAATGTTCCATTAAATAATGTCAACCTAATATCATTTTTACAGTCATAAATTACATTTCTGAATGAAAATAAATCAAACAGATATAGAATAGAAAACTTAAATATACAATAAACTTACCACCATGCCCATTCCAGTGCTGTGGACCCCTGGATGTTTGACAACACAATCCGATGACTTCATACATTTCATTTTACCTAAAAACAGGAAGAAAACTTTACAGATGAATAAAACGAACACAAATAATTTCAGTGTAATGGTAAATAGTGTAATACATGAACAAAATCCCCTTCACAACATTTAGCCAAGTTACGATCACTCAAGGAGCTAGGTTTGCCAAAGCTACTGTCGTCAATCAAGAAATATCTTTATTAAAGTAAATACAGAAGCTTTCACTAAGCCTGAGTTAAACCTTCTGATAACGCTAAAAAAAAACACGCTAATAACAGAATAAACTTTCTGGGATTTCCTTATATTTATGATTAAGCATGCTTCAAGACAGGCTGAATAAAAATGAACTTGTACCAGAATAATAAAGGAGAAGAGCATAGAGAAGAAGAAAACAAAACAAACCCACAGAGTTCATGAGCCAAACTTTTTGAACTGTGTGGTTTTCATCATCTATGTAACAAAATAATGGAGTGTAATGGTAGAAGCATGTAAGGTTATGTGAAAAACAACAACTAAACCTTCTTTCAATTCTACTGTTTTACATATCAGCACATTTAAAAAAATCATCTGGTCCTTAGCATGACATGACATGCAGAAACGTGTGGAAAAACTAATGACATCCCTCCTGCATTTATAGTATTTAACAGCGTAAGTAGCAGCCAGGTACTGCTAATCAAATGAACTTGATTTATTGATAATCAGCAACTGTCAGCACCTCTATAATAACAGAAGCTTTGGCAGGTTGCTGATCTGGAGCATTCAGGTACGTTAACACTATGTCATAATCTTTCCAAAAGTGGAGTTTCCAACAAATTCACTCACAGATCAGTCTGCGCAGTGCTCCGTGAAACTGCAAAAAAACCGAGAGCAACATCCAAGATTCTACAGACATGTAAAATCCTCTGTACACCAAAGTATTCTACCGTCAAAGGTGAGGACATCTAAAGCTTGAGCCAACCACAGCAAATGTACAACAGAATGGCTTTTTTTTAAAAAACAAAAAGCATTAAGATGATTGAATGGCCCAATCACAGCCCAGTCAAGCTAAAAAATGATTACTTCATTACTGCTGCTGAATCTGGTTCTACAAGCTAATGAATCCAGGGGTGTGAATAATGTTTCCACACAATGCTTCTGAATTTGGACTTACTTTTTGTTAAGTAATTAATGACCTGGTACAATGTGTTGCTTATTTAGGTTATATTAACCTTTTTAAGACCTTGCAGGGACCTTGCTATCACTGAGCTGGCTGTGAATTGGCACATTTTTGAATGGGCTTGGATGTGAAGGTCACAAATGAGCAGGGAGTGTTAGCTTTAAAATGAATATCTTTCCAACATTACTCAAATAACACGTGCAGTGTACTCACCACACTGCGCGCAGACAGGCAGCTTCTGCACCGAGTTACAGAAATAACAGAAAGCCCTGTTCTTCTGTTTTCTAGCATGTGGCATCAGAAACGTTAAAAAAATGTTAATTATCTCAGAATTATGGAGAATCTGCAGTTGCACATTGGTCATATAAGTGAATAAAATCACTTACCTCTGACATTTGTCACATTCCTGCAAAAATGTAACAGTATAAAAGATTAGATACATATTAAGGCATTGCTGTTGTTTTAATTGGGCATCTATCAGCTACCGCAGCTACATACCATGTTGGAGTTGCAGGGGTGTTTGGCCACGTCAACATGTTCCCTGTTGGCTCGTATTTGCTTCTCTCGCTCTTTCCGATTTTCAGCCTTTTTTCGGGCACCGGTTTTCTTTTTGGGCATTTCTGGTTCTCCGCGGAGCTTGACACTGACTCTGTCACCTGCAAACACGGACAAACGGGGTGAACCACGCCGGGAGGAAACTGGGCGACTTCTTCTGCGTGAAATTCAGCTAAGAACGAGCAACTCTTAGCTGATATCTCATCTCAGTGCTTTTCCAATAAGATGCACAGGGACTACAGTCAGCGACACGGGTGGTGAATTACGACAACAAGCACTACAACTATAAAAAGTTTCTGACATTTCTGTTCATGTTGGCTAGCAGCTCCCGTGTCTGCTGACTGAGCTGGTGTCTCATAAGCAAATTACATTTAAAATAAACTATAACACCACTCAACACATGTGTACATGACTTTTAGACTGTAAAGGAACCTCCTAAGTGTTCCTAAATGTTACACGCTAGCGTAATTAAAAAGAAAATTCGATTATTTTTGTATTTTTCTTTACCGAAATGATCAGTTCAGAGAACGCAGCTAGGTCCGTCCTGAAAATGTGTTCACCGGAACACTCGGCTAAAAAACATTCGTTCCACATATGCTGGTTTTTGGTTATGGTGGCTTAGCGTCACCTCTTTTCATTTAATGATTGATGTTAAATAATTTACTTTTTTATAGGGCAGTGGTAATGCATAAATATACAATATGGCCTACTTTAAATAACACAATAAACATTTGCAATAATAATGATATAGTCTATATGATATATAATAGAGTATATATTACAATAAGACCTAAATTTAACCAGTAAAAGATCATTTCTTTTTCGAATGGGTTTGGCTCCAGTTTTTCTTATAATGCTACTCCATGTGCTAACGCTAATGGGAGCTCTACAATTGCAGGACATTTCCTGTATCACCCTTGAAAATAGCCCATACATGTTGCATAAATGACACTTGTCCTGAGACAAGATGTAAACCTAGCTGCTAAAAAAGCCAAAATATAAAATAGAATTCACCAAAATGCCTTTTTTTTATCAAAACTTTTTTTAATCAAATTGTGCTTCATATATAACCATTAAAATTACCTTTAAATCCACTTTTTGATGTTTTGATTTTGCTGACACGTTTTTTGTAATTGTGAAGTCATTTAGTTAATATCAACATAGTAATTATGCACTGCAACAAATGTGCAACCTTGTTATTGAAACCTAAAGAAGAAGTGAGATGATTGGATCATGTTTTAACACCAAAAGTTAGTCGTCTTTGACATATTTTGTATTTTCTTTCTGTCTTTTCTGACTAGATTTGGTGTGTCACTCTAACCAACGCATCCCTGTTGCCCATATCATGGACTGGTAGATTTTGAGCATTAAAGCATTTTCTGCTGCAAGTCTCACTCTCCCAATCACACACACACATTCATACATTGCTTTTATCTATACCTAAGCACTTTTATCAGCCAAACCCCAATGAATACATCAGGGGCTGCCCCATATTACCAAAAAAAACAAAAAAAACAAAACAAACCCCCCCACCAAAGTTTCCTTCCTTTCTTTATATAACTACATTTATCCTTGACTTTCACAGTACATTACATTCAACAACTGCACCTTTTTCAGACAAAACACTTTTAACACATATTAGCAGTGATTTGCAACCATGTTACCATACATGTAAAACAAATAATACAAGCATGTTTTGAAACACAAACATACAAAATATTTGGTCCTGGGATTTTCTTTGTCAAATTTACATCATAATCCACAAATAAATGTAATTTATTACTGTAATTACTCTAATTAATTACGTGTTACTCCAATTCTAACCCTGTTACCAGGTCATTTTAAATAAAACATTCATAAGTGTTTTTCTTAGCTCACAAAGATTTGATCTATTCCATTTGTAATAGTTTGAATTATCTGTTTGAGCAAGGATTGGAAAATAAATATTACAAAGTTGGGCAATAATTAATTAAATTAACATAACATAACTCCCCTCAAGGCACTTCATACTGTAAGTTAAAAGATCCTACAATAATACAGAGAACCCCCAACAAGCAAGCATTTGGTGACAGTGGGAAGAGAAAACTCCCTTTTAACAGGAAGAAACCTTAGGCAGAACGAGGCTCGGGGATCTGTTTGGGTGTGAGGTGAGAGAAAATGGACAAAAGACAGGCTGTGAAAAAGAGCCCACAGTGCAATATTAGATATTTAAGATCTACTTTTTTATTAGGTTCCCAAGCATTGGTAAATGGGCTGTCTCAAGCATAGCACAAATAAAGCATTACAAAAATCTACACATTTTTTGATGGATTTTATTTTTGTTGTTTTTCTTAAATATATAAAAGAAAATATAACCTAGAAGCTCGATTGTTTTTATTTATTTATGCTGCTATCTTTAAAGCCTAAATTGCTCTCCAATGGAAGGATGACCCTATAATATCCTGCAGTGATTTCTAACAGTTGTAGATTCATCACATGACGTCGTGGTCGGTCAGCGGCATCTTGTCCACGCCCAGGGCACGTGCTGATGAGCAGCGAGCCAGTCCTGGGCGAGGAAGGAAAACAGCTGACGGGGAACAACAACACAGAGTCGCCTTCTCCTGCAGGTGGTGGTGTACCGTGGACAAACTCTTTTCACACTTGGCCTGTTCGGGCTGCCGCCTGGCATCCTGGTCGTTATGTGGGTCTGATACATTTCTGAAGCATCTAAAAGAGGGTTTGATGCGAGCTCTGCGTTGAGGAGGAGGTGGAGGAGGACACACGGAGCTCGCCATCCATCCTCCCTCCCAAAAAAGAGCAGCAGCCGCCGCACAATGGCACCGTCCCTCATCCGAGCTTGCCGCAGTCTGGCTCTCTCGACGTGGCTGGTGTCGTTTTGCTTCGTCCACTTGCTGTGCCTGGACTTCACGGTTGCAGAGAAGGAGGAGTGGTACACAGCTTTCGTTAACATCACCTACCTGGACCCCGTCACGTCGCAGGTGAGGACGGAGAAAACCGAGTGCGGTCGGTATGGCGAGCACTCCCCTAAGAAAGAAGCTAGAGGTCTGGTCCTGGTGCCGGCCCTCCTGCAGGACAGACAGGGGTGCGACCGAAACATCAGGTTCCCTCCTGCCCCTCCAAACACCCCTTGGGTGGCGTTGGTAGCTGCGGGGAATTGCACTTACCGGGAGAAAATCCGTAATGTCGCAAACCACAACGCCTCTGCAGTTGTCATATACAACGTGGGCTCCACTAGCGCCAATGACACCATAACAATGTCCCACTCAGGTAAGAGACAGCATGCCAACTCTTTTCCCTAACACTGTCCCAGACTCCTTCAGGCAGAACAGATAATCTACTACAAAATAGTCCCGGCTGTGTTACTGAGCCCTGAAAGCCCACATGCAACTAATCTTCAGCTTATTAAGTCTCCATCCAAGATCAGTGGCTTTCATCCCTGCAGTGAAGCCTGCGAGCTCTTCTGCTTCACTGCAATCACATCAAGCCTAATGTGTTATCAGTGTGTTACACCCGAGGAGCTCCTCGATCAGATATGGCCATATATTTGCCAGATGTGTTATTAGTGGAATAGTATTAGGTTGGGATAAATATATATACTGTATGTTTTATTCCTGAGCTATACTTGTTTATTACTCCACAGAAGCATACATAAATGAGGGTGGGTTTCAAACTGTGTGGCATAGAGTCTGCTGTTTTTTTTATTGTCAACTGCTGATTAAAAACATGGTGGGAAGTGTAGGGGAAACTTTTCCAGCTTCCAAAGTGCTGCATGCCACAAAGAGCTTGAGAACAATGCTCACAGATTGTCCATTTGAACTTCTGCTTCTTCTCGTTGTTTGACACTTTATTCCTCAGATAAATCTTGTTTGGTTACCTCAAAGCATGCTACAAATTCTAGCTACGAAATAAAACACAATAATCAGCTTCCAGTGCAGATGATGATGGAGTAAAGCTATAAAAACAGTATTTTAAATAAGGTTAATGTCCTTACATATGCTGAAAGTTATTCCCCACATTTTTTGTAAATAAATAAGAAATACTGTGGAAAAGAAAAAATAAGCCCATCTGTGTAAAGGATGACTTTGAGTGGGCTTCACCTGCTGTTCTGAAGAAGCACTCTTCTCTTTAGTCCAGAGGATGGGGCATTCATGTTTTCCTAGAATAATTTCAAATTTCAATTCATCTGACCACAGAACAGTTTTTTCACTTGGCCTCAGTTCATTTTTAATGATCTTTGGTCCACAGAAGACGGCGGTGTTCCTGGATCATGTTCACGCATGGCTTCTTTCTATGACAGAGGTTGTTTAACTTGTGTTTGCAGATGGCACAGTGAACGGTGTGCACAGATAATAATGATGATTCCTGGAAGGGTTTCTGAGCCCATAATGATTTCTAGAGTAGAATCATGCCTGTTTGTGATGCCTTGCCGCCCGAGGACCCAAAGATCATGCGCATCCATTGATTTTGAGTTTGAGAATAATTTGATGATCTTATGTCCTGTATATTCAAAAAGTCTTCAAGTTATTCATGAAATAAAAGGTTTTAAAATGTTACATTATTTTTAAGTTCTGTTCTGGTTGAAAAATGGTTTTGTTAGATTTTCAAATCATTGCATTGTTTATATTTACATTTTACACAGCATCCCAGCTATGTTTGTTTGGGTTTGTTTTTACCGTCACAGAAGAAGAAGATGAGTACAACTTTCTTTATTATACGTGTATAAACCGAGTTTTAAGTTAGCCATGGCTATTCAATGTTGAAACCAGTCAAACCAGTTTGTTATTGAATGGAGAGTCCCCACTTTGTAAGGTATTTGCATTTAATCAAATAAGACAAGAGCCTCTAGACTCTCAGAAAGTGTAAGACAAGGATAGTCTGACAATCGCTCCTCAGTGTGACACTAAAGAACAGCAAACCAATCTTTTGACTGGTAACGCAGTCAGTACATGCAAAGCAAGCACTTAAAGACTAAAGCGAGTAATTGCAAAATGATCAAATAACACACCCATCACATTTTGATGACATAATCCGTGTAAAAATCTCATGAAAACAACACTTTGTGTTCTTAGAGTCAGGTCTTTCCTCGTTGTTTTGCCAGAAGCGCCGTGTTGATTAATGGTAATTGGACAAACAGGGTTGTTTAAATAGCACCCCATTCAGAATAATTTACATGCTAACAGCTTTGTAGAACAATTGTAGTGTTTGTTTTTTGTTTATTTTTTTAATCTACCCCTCAAAGTCACATTGAAAGAGAATCATAGATCTTTAGTTTTACCCACAATCCCTAAAAATCAGTAATGTAAGTCAAAGGGAAAATTCCTGCTATTCCTCTCACATTGCAGTTCTTAAATGTTTGGCTGTTGCAGATGACAACACGGTGCCTGAAGGCTGTTTGACAAAAGGATCTGTACAGAAACAGATGTTCAAACTAAAAATGCAAATCATAGTCACAAACACTGATCAGTCCACACAGAAAGGAGATGTATAAAAACTACTTGTAGGCCATGTTGGTGTAAGTTTCACGAGACTTGTATGTCTCATCCTGTGACTTACTCATGTCATTTTATTTTTAAGTTTTGTAAATGAACTTTTAAAACAGCAGAGGACAGGAAATTTATCTGTGAGTGTTTTGTTTCCTTTTGTCACACATGTTGTGTAGAGGTGGGAATCACCATACAGCCCACGATACGATATTATCACAATACTTAACGCACGATACGATATTATTGCAATTTTTTAAAATATTTTGCAATATTCAGATTCTGTACATAAAGGTAAACTTTATCAATATTCATTTTATCTAATAACAAAGTCTCACACTCAGTCTTTCTCTCATTTCAGTCAGTGTAATTGTTGACAAACTGAACGGTTTGTATTACAGTCTAGTCCAACTTAACTGAATGCAACCATCTGGTACAATTATAGCTATTCTGAACTATGCAATTTGTGAAAACTATGCAGCCCCTTCAGCAACAGAAGAATTTGAAAGTAAATTAAAACAAAATATAATTTTACATTAAATAAAATAGTTTTAAACTTAATTAAAATAAAACGTCTTAAATTAAAATAAGTAAACTGTCATGTTTATTGCTGCCATAAAAAAAGTTAAACACATTTGGACAGTGAAGGAATGTCAGGATTCTTGCTCAGAAAAAGGAGCTGATCAACATGCTCTTGTAACAAAATATCGATTTCTGCTGTCCCTGTATCGATACATTATTAGCAAACAAAATATCACGATACTACACAGTATCGATTTTTTCCCCCACCCCTAATGTTGTGTGACTCATACTATGTCGTACCAGGTATGATGTAGGACCCTGGTCTGGATGGACTAGAGGAGCATAGAGATAAAGCTGTGTGAATTAATATTATATCTATATTAATATGTAATTTCAAAACTGCTGCTAGTGCCACAAGACTGTTATTAACTCTCAGATCTCTTTCATCTCCTTAAAAAATGTTTTTCCTTTTTTATTTCCGTACTTTTTTTTCCTTCTTTTTTACTGCTTTGGTTCACTCCAACCATCACCATCAGTCTCCTACCAAACAGTGGACCCAGAACTCATTGGATACCAACATTGGACTACTGCTGCTTCATAGATGTGACTTTTTTTTCCCACAGCAAAGTTTTAAGGTTTTACTTTTTTTCAGTCAGCCTGTGTGTTGATGGTATATGACCATTAAACTTCCTCTGCTCCTCCTCTGTTTCTCACAAAGACTCCAGTGTGCAGACCTGGTTTACCTGGAGCATCAGATAAAAGGCACCAATCTATTTTTAACTCTTGCCCTGCTTCCAACCTTGACATAAATATAAACTAAGGCATCTTTAAGAGAAAAGAAAAGGCAACAAGGAGAGCTACAGCGATAAAGCTGGTAGAGAGGAAGGAAGGTAATGGAGAGGGCTGTGGCAAAGACACAGGTCCTAATATGTAAAATGGATAATGAAGCTGCTGCCAGAGAAAGAAGGGCAGACCAGAGCCAACACAGCTGGGCTGTAAAATCCACAGCTGCTAGAGGCAGAAACTCGGCATGGCATTATCCAGTTTAAGTCTTTCTTCTCAAGCCTGATTTGTCTAAATGCTTTGTTCAACTTTAAAGAGATAATTTAGGTTTCTGAATAACTCATGTAGAAATTAACTTATTCATTATGTAAACGAGGATTTCTCACTTCTGGAAAATTATTACTGTTGTTTCCAACCATTCAGATCATGGCACATATGAAAAAAACAAAAAAAACTAACTAGTCGTTCCGAGATGTCCAACATTCATTATCTCATAGGTTCATATGTGCAGAGTTAGGTTTGAGCTTCAAGCTAGTCTTTTTCCAGTTATCTAGTGGGATTAAGAGAGTGGGACCACATATATTATGGTTGCAAAACACAATATCCTGCTCAGTAGCCGTCATCCACAGGCAGAATGTGAGTTTTGATAGCTGATTCAGATTCAGTCTTCATAGTCTGTGCTCTCATGTCAGATCTTGCCATCACTGCTCTGGCAGCTTAGCTGCTGAAACACTCCCAAGCTGGCAAATGTGTTGCGTTACTATGACAGAGGGCTACCATATGCTGTCACATCAAAATGACATAATTTTGTCATTTTACTCTTTTTGTCTCTGTGTGTGTTTGAAAATGTGGCTTAAATATGTTTAATGGAACTGCTGTTTTCTGTCAAAGCCACAGCATCTGCTTTGTGTCACAGCTAGTTTTCCTTCAGTCCACTGCTGTTAATAAAGATGTAAATCTATAGTAATCAGTGCCTCAGCGATGTCTACAGGAGGCCTAGATCCTTTTAAAGACATTAACCACACAGCCCGGACAGGCTGGTGCCAACTAAATTAACCCCATTCAGTATTAATCCACTCTTTGCTTCCACATTTTGGCCAAGTGGGTCTGAAAGAAACAGATCTTTCACTAGTTCAGCCTCAGTCTCCGACATTGCCCTCCTGTTTTTAGAAGCAGCTATTTTTATCTGCTCTCACTGCGTCACTGTGAGCAGAAGAAGGAGATAAGTGTCGAGGCTTAGGGAAACCTTACTTGCCCTGTTATGCCTTTTCTTGTTTCTGTTAGCTATTAAGATTATACTGCCCGTACACGGTTGTTTAAAGGTCTACAGATTTGGGCAGTTTTATGTTTCAAGTTGTTTACCGTTTAACAAGACGTGGTGCAGTTTTATCTTGTGTTTGCAAAGGCAAATGTTATATCACAGTGACTTTTCCCCTCTACCATATGGTCATGCTTAATAAAACCATAAATCCGCAGGCCGGGAGCGTGTGTCTCTAAGGTTACAGATTGAAAAATAGGCGTAAAAACAGGAAGCATTACGTATGTTATCAGGTAGAGAGAATTACCTTACATTATTGGGGAAGTAAAGCTTAGTTCAAACGCCTGTTTAAAAACTTTAAAACTGTCTTCATCCTATGTGAAACTTTTATGAGCGTGAGAAGACTCATAGGGAGAGACTGAGATAAAGAAGTGTGACAGCAAGTGACCTTTACAGTCTGAACATAACGTTGTGTGCAGCCGGATATTACCATCTGTTTTCAGTCCAAATAAAGGCTTTTGTTTTCTCTCTCATTTTTTTAAAAGTATTGTTTGCTTTAGAAACTCCAGCACGAATAAGCTCATTATGAGAAAGCTGCTATCTAATATTTGTGTTTGTGCTAATATTGAAAACACTGCCAGTTGGATGATGAATATAATGCCCAGTTCTTTCAATGCACTTTAAATCCTGATAAATAAAAAAATAAAAAAACTTTTCCTGTATTTTTATTTTTATAAGCTTCTTGGCTTGAAACTCACTTTGCTGATCCTGACATAAATCACTGAAACTGTGACTCTTTAATCTTTTGTCGTGTAAAATATAGAAGCTGTTGACTGGGAGTTATTATTATTACTCTCATGCTATCTTTGTGATGGATTCATAGCATTTGTGATATTTAAATAGTACTCGGTGTATTTGAGATGCTTGTTGGGATGGCAGTGTGAATAAAGCCACTCTCTCTAGTGACAGATACAAGGTGTGACCCACCATGGGGAGCGTGTCCCTAGAAACTGAGTTCTACAGTCATTTTGTCCGATGTGTCATTTCCTCATCACACAGGGCAGATTAATGCTGCATTTTCAGAACAGATACAAATGTCCCCATTTCAGACTCTATAAAAGATTGCTTTTAAGTCTGGAATTAGCTAAATATTTTTTATGTAGTATTTAATATTGATCATTCAGAAGGCCGGGCGGCAGGGTCTTGCATGTGCTTCCTGTGCCTGTGTGGGTTCTCTGTGGGTACTCCGGCTTCCTCCTGCAATCCAAACACATGCGCAGGTTTGTTTTAAGTGGCTGTTCTAAAGTGACCCAATGTCACAAAATTCAACGTAACATGATTCAGATGAGAAAATTGTGACTTAAAGTAGTAATTAAAAGCATAAATGGTTCATTACAACAATTTTAAAATGTAATGTAATTCCCTGTACAACTCAGTACAAGTACTTAAGAATGATGAATGATGTAGCAATGTTACGGCATATGAGTTTCCAGTTTATAAATATGTTCCATGCCTTCAAAATTATAAATGGACTGGTACTTATGTAGGACCTTTATACTCAGGGTGGTTACCTAAACCTCTTCCCACTACGAGCTCATCCACCCAATCATGCGCACATTCATACAGCAATTTTGATCTATGCCTTTTTACTAACACGCACACACTCAAACTCTGTTGTTCAGTATCTTGGTCGTGGATCATGTGAACAGGAGGAGCCACTCGACCACTGCTGAGCAGCCACCCCGCTAATTACTCTAATTGTAGTTGCGTTAAGAGGCTTATACAAAGCACAATGTCATCTGATACTAAAACCCATAAAAATCAGACAATGTAAATATATCCTTTCTCCCTGGGAGTTTTTCACAAATCACTGCATCACTGCATTCTCGTATATAAAAATCGTGTAAGTGTTTTACAAGAATAGCAAGTTGTTTAAAGACAGAAGAAAACTGTAGAAAAAAAGCAGCTCAAAGTACAATTTAAAGTCTCTCCCTTAATGAGAGATGCTCAGAGCGTCTGTATTACATAATCCTTCATTGTGCACAACAAGCAAATCAACAGATGGTTGCTGGCAGGAAGCCTCCGACACCGAGAGTGAGGCTTTAGTTCATCTGTCCTGTCTAAGCTCCCAGCAGCCTGCTCAAGATTCCTCTTTACTGTAGCACACACCAGTCTGAGTCGGCAGAGTTTTAGCACCTCCTCTGCTCTGAAGCACCGTTTTTAAATGCTCGGGTTGTGGTTGAATGTGTGGCAATTTGCTCTGTAAAATATAAAGTAGTGCTGTATGCAAATATCTGCTTTTGTTTTTCCTTTTTATTGGATTTATCGGTGCATACTGTTTTGCCTAATTCCAGTTTTTTTGTATAAAAGGAAATATTTGTTGTTTGCCCTGTGAATAGCCATCACTACCTCAACCAAGGAGGTTACATTTTGGTGGTGTTTGCATGCATGTGTCATCACTCTCATGATAGCTCGAACAGCTTTGAATGAATTCAAAAAAAAAGCTTTGTAGGGGTGTAGAGTGAGGTCATGTTAACAATCCATTATATCTGGCTTCCATCCACCGAGGTCACCTTAATGATTTAACTAGAAACTATGATTCTTAAAAGTGTGTATAAAGTGTGTATTTTCAACACATAAAAAGTTACATATATGTCAGTATGTTTCGTACATATAATAAATCATTCTAAATATCACGTTTTTTATTATGACCTTGTTATGTGCATTAGGTTATAAGAGTTTAAATAATAACAAAAGTATACTTTTTTGCAAACAAAATAAAATTGTGATCAAAAAACCTTTTCGCTTGATGATTTATTGTTTAGATATTTAAATTAATTTTACTAAGCAATTAAATAAGTGCTACACAAGCGCTGTATTTAAATATATACAAATAGCAAAAAATAATTAAAAAAAATAATTGTACTCAAAACAAAGTCAAGTATATTAAAATGGATTTCAACTAGATAAATAATAAAATCCTATAATTTCAAACTTCTTAAAGTTTGTTTAAAAAAAAGAACAAAGAAAACAAAAACAAAGCAAAAGAAAATTTTTCAGTTCAGTTTTATTTATATAGAGCGAATTCCCAACAACAGTTGCCTCAAGCTGCTTTATATCGTAAGGTAAAGAGCCTACAATAGTACAAAGAAAACAGAGAAAACCCCGACAGTCATTTGACCCCCTATGAGCAAGTATTTTTGTGTTAGAAAATAATAAATCAATATTTTAAAAGTAAACATTTTGCACAAGATAAAGAGTTATTTTATTTCCTCACTTGCAGCACTGATTCATCTCCTGAATGTCTCAATTTGTACTTCCTGTGTTGCGTGTTGTGTAGACACAGGCGATGTTGTGGCCATCATGATCCCGGAGCGTAAAGGCCGTGAAATCGTGGCCTTGCTCGAGCAGCGCATCGCGATCATGCTGCAGATCACTATAGGAACCCGCAACCTGCAGAAGTACGTGAGCAGAACGTCCGTGGTGTTTGTGTCCATCTCCTTCATCGTCCTCATGATCATCTCCCTCGCCTGGCTCGTCTTCTACTACATCCAGAGGTTCCGCTACGCTAACGCACGAGATCGCAACCAGGTATGTCTGTGTGCAGCCGATGTGTTTCTGACGGGGATAGTGTTGCAGCCGTGTGGTGGATTTTCCCATATGGCCCTGCTCCAGTGTGAACGTAAGGAAAGATTCAAAATTAGCCTGACACCTGGCTGAACACGAGCATGGCAGCCCAGTGAACCATCAAACTGTGCAAATACCTTTCTTGTTGGGTTTTTTGCCATCTCTTTATGAATGGGCTGCTCTGACATTGTAGTGACGTCTGTAATGACGATCCATCACCACGGCTGTTATGATAGGGGCCGTGGCTGTGACAACTATTGTTTGTGTTTTCAATTTGAATTATACTGATTAATGTTGTAAGTAGGGTACAGCTGCAACAATGAACAAATCTGCTTTCAATTCATAATGTGAGACAGACGTGGAGCAGTTCAAGCACGACTGTCTGTTATTATAATACAACTCCATGAATCGAGTTTTTGTTTTAATCCAGATTGTGGAAATGGGGTCATTAACAGATGGATGAGTTTATCTATGTGTCGTGTATCTATATCTACACTTTAACTAATGACTCCTTTATTCACACATCTGTCGTTTTTATTGCTGAGACTTTTGAAAACGTTTCAAATTCAGTCTGATGTTTACTTGGTGAGATCTTCTGGTTGCTTTTGAGATCTTTAGTCTAGCCTCTTTGCAGTAACATAATTAGTTGAAACATTTTCTGAATCTGTTTTATTGTTATACAAACGCAGACAACCAATCAAGTCAAGTAACAACAAGTGTTTTTCACATGGTCACCTGCCGCTTTATTGGGTACACCTTGCTCGTACAGGTTTGGACACCGTGTTGCCTTCAAAAGCGGGTCCAAACTCTTCCTTTAACAAGGTGCTGTGATTTTGTTCCATGTTGACGAGATAGCATCACATAGTACGAGGAACAGCACGGTTGATCTTAGTTGATTTCATCAAGAAAGATGAAACTTTATCAGCTTTTTGTCATTGCAAGCCAATATACACTATTAACCAAGGCTACTTTGTTTTAAAAGCCAATTTAAATTCCTGAATTGTTCATATACATATATATATATATATA